TGTTGAACTTACTGCTGTGCTTTCGGTACTAGCAACCTCGTCTATACTCGCTTCTATTCTAGGCGTTGTACTCTTCTCTGACGGCTCTTCTCCGCTGGCTTCTTCGCGAGATATCGTTGATGGCTGTTCCGTGGTACCTTCACTGCTTGCTGGTGCTGTCGTAGTAGCGCCTCCAACTGGGACAAAGCCTAGCGCGACTGTTACGGTGAAGCTTTGTGGAGTTGCTGTAGGCTCAGACCCGGTAGGGGTGCTGGGCACTTCGGATGTACCTTCGGCAGGCGTAGTTTTCAATAAAGGTTCTTCTCCACTTGCTTCCTCGTGAGCCGTCGTCGCACTCAATTCTGTTGTAGCTTCTTCTCCGCTAGCTTCCGTTACAGCAGCTTCTGCGGTAGGCGATGTTGTTGCGCCAGTTCCGGTCGTGCCAAGAGGAGTTGATGACTCGGCCTCTGAAGGCGTTGTACTCTTCGCTGCTTCATTAGTCTGGGCTGTGGGTGCAGTTGCTGGTTTTTCTTCAGTGGAGGGTGCGTTGTCGATGCTCTCCGAAAATGGACCTGCTGGTCCACCTATGTTCGGCAACATTCGGTGTGGCACTGAAAGGAAGCAGGTAATCAAAATCTAAATAAAAGGTGGACCAGCAGCAAGTACGAGCTTACCACAGCTGAAACAGTGCATGAACACCGGCTGTTGAGGACGAGCAACTTGCACGAGTTTTGCGTTCGAACATCGAGCTCTGTCACCATAAGACAAGGCACACTCACGTGTAATGGGATCGTATTTTGCGCCAGTGCAGCCATCCTGAACAAGTCGAATTTGGCATGAAATGTGAAACGAAACTCTTTCTGCTTTCATGACTCATGATCGATGTGGAGTACCCCAAATTGCATTAGGAGATTTTTTACTCTTCTTAAAGCATACTTTCCGGCTCAAAATTTGTGTATTCATCTTTCATTTAGGAAGACTCTTTCGCCGTGTATTAGACTGCAGCGTAACCTTCTAAAAAAGAGTGGAAGGCAGAATTCCAATATACCGCTTATTTTCTACCAAATTTTTTATTCGGATCACCTAAGGCA